GGGTACAGTGGCAGTATTTCTGGGTGACAAGGCAAACAATGGGTTAACAGTTTTAATGTTTCTTCACATTATTTTTGTTGCTGCCAAACAAAAGCTGTGTGAAGGGCGTGCCTTTATAACCGTAAAATAATTAATAGTATTATGGAGTGTGTTTAAGTTGTGTGTAAAATGATGATTAAATGCTGGGCTGCAAAATGAAGTGTTCCCTTATTCATGACTGTAATTACAGTGTAGTTACAGGTTGTATTATAAAGTTTATTATAAAGGTGTTGTTTTTTGTTTAAGTAAGTGCTACACATACTTCAGCTCCTTTACAGTACTAGGTAATTTAAAAAGTACTTACAGTGTAATACAGTATTTTATTTAGATGTTTTCTTTACCCCATTGTTTCCTGTACTTCTGCACTTGTACCTCTGCTGTAGGAACACAGTAAGTATTTCCTTGATACCTTTGTGTCACTGCAAAAGGCACTTAAAGTATTTCAAGTTAAAGTACATGTTATGAAAATGGCCCCCAATATATAATTGGATTATTACTGAATCATTCATGTGTACTAAGCAGCATTTTAATGTTGTAAAAGTGGAACTATGTTTTTACAGCTTGTACTATTTGGTATTTTAATCTCTGACAAATGATGCACATTTTATAAACTGATCTGCATAAAATCTAATAAGTAAGCAATTATAACAGTGAGCAATATATAACAATATGTGTTTCCCTTGTTAAATAACTGTCTCCAGAGGATGGAAGCACAGACACACCTCTGTACTGTGGCTGACACACCGCTTTATAAGTGATAAATGTGATTGATAACAAAATATATTCTGCTTAAGATTTCCTCTGACAATTATTTATTTTATAGTTTTCATTGACCAAACTTTGAAAATAACTTCTTTGTGGATAGTTATTCGAACAATTCCAGTAACAGATTAAGATCTACATCTACATCAGATATTTGTTTAGTTTGGCAGCCACGTTAAGTAAACTTTTCCATTCAAGTAGTTTGTTGCCTTTCTGCCTTACTTACATTGTTGTACCCAAGACTTTTTAAAACACTTTTTTTCTCCTAAGGAAATTTACATACATATTGTGTATGAATTAGAGAGAACAGCTTCTATCCAAAGCAGGCAGCCAACAGATTTAAAACAGAAAAATCCACACACCTAACAGCTTATCATGTGCGAATTTATCCGGTTTAACTTTCTAACTGTAGTTAATGAACAACAGGAAGAAATTAGAGTAGCGTAGGTTGCACCAAACTCCAGAGACAAGGAAACAGGAGAGAGGAAAACAAGGAACGAAAAGAGGTGACCTATATCCCTGGGTTAGAAGGGTGTGTGTGTGTGTGTGTGTCAAGTGGGCAGGAGCACTCATTTGCTCTGTGAGGCTTGTAATAGTATTCATGAAACATGGACACCGTTGCTCTCAGTCACTCTGTGTGCGTGTGTGTGTGTGTGAGAGAGACTCATCCGTTCACAAGTTGAAGCATAAAACTATCGAACCCAAACTGAGTACGTTTCCGTTTCTAGGCTTTTCTAATGGGACATTCCTGCAATTAATGTACAAATTGATGAATGTGTCTTACTTTGAAGGCTGAAAAGTGAAAAACGTCACTAATAAGCTACATTCAGTACGACCAAAATACGTTCATAATCAATACAGTTGTTTAAATAATTAAAATAGAGTGTAAACAATAAAAAACTCAATATTTTTCCATTAGTTGTATAACTCTAACTCTTCTTAAAATTACTGGTTTTATTGTGTTAGAAGATTTAAATCAATATGATAAAATTATTTTGTACTATTCATGTTCTGTGCCATATATGTCAACTGAGGTTACATCATTACAAATGTTAAAACATAAATAATAAATATATTTTTTTATGTTGTGTATTTGAGAACCATTTTCCTAAAGTTAACTATTACACAATCTATATTGTAAATGTACTTGTGTCAGTACGATGAGCAGAGTAGGAAAGTAACCTACATTATTATATTTTTTTTATCAGATTGTGGATTCCAAAACCTACATAAGACTCTAATCATTTTCCAATCCAAGTATGATGATGAACCTGCAAATAACACAAAGAAGATTTATAATGCATTGTGGAGCAACTTTATTTCTGTGGTGCTTTGTTTGTGCTGTGTTACATGAAGATGTCCTCTGTGAGTGTGTTTACCAGTGGTGTGGTCACCCAACCTCAAGCCAAATAATGTCCTGGTTCTTCTGTTCTGTTAAAGTAAAAACATATTTTCCCCCGGCGGCTGTAGGGTTTAATTCCTCTTGAGACATCACACAAGCCTCGCCTGTTCACAGGCACAAGTGTGTGTGAGAGGCAGCGTTCTCATACCAACAAAGAAAAACAACAGGGAGTTACTTTATATCATAAAGAGGAGAAAAGCAAACACATTAGCCCTGACCTACAGTTGATAGTGTTAATAAACGAAGCAGTGAACAAACCATGATGAAGCAGAGTTCATAATGAACTGGCAACCCAGGCAGCCAACTAGCACTTTAACAACCTACAATACTAATATTGTTGATCAGAAGTGCATTCTCGACTTTTGGAAACAATTTCAACAGAAGGATCCATGTAGTACGTTTTCTGTTGCGTGTTCTTCTTCAGCAGGAGTGGCCCAGCTGTCATGGAGTTTCCTTTCTTTCTGAGCACTTTCAGGACTTGTTAGTTTAAAAGGTTGTGATTGAAATTTCATTCTTGAGCTTGAGCTGATTAAACAAACCATTTAGCAGCAGTTCTGGAGCTTTCAGTCATCAGACATGATCTTCATTAGAGGGCGTCAAATTGATATTTCAGTCAAGAATTAACTTTTTATCTTAAACTTTTACAGGAACTCATTAAAGCTGCTATAATTGATATTTTTATAATAACAAATGACAATGTGAAGTGGCAGCTCGTAGAGATGAATTATCACCTGAATCTGCGGCTCCCTTTAGCTTTACAAAGCTTTACAGTGAGTTTCAGCTCGTTGTTTTGCTGTCCCACAACCAAAAACAGCTAAATGAGAGTGAATATTGGAATTATATTTATCAGCTGGACACAAACAGGACTCCAAATGAATGATAATGTTGCTCTGCAACTGATGAATGTGTAGATAAGCAACTGTTTGCCAACTACTTCACTATATCAACTTAAACTGTGCTGTCAATGCAGTGATCACAACTTGCTTCCACTGCCTCCAAGTGGCCAAATATCTATATTACAAGTTTAAAGTGCTGGGAGACAAGGACATTTAAACATCTATTATATTTTCATGACAACTGCACAGCTTCCATCTGCTGAGGGAGATCATGTGACACAGCCACTAAAATGGACATTGTGGTGAGACTGTTGTTGACTACAGTGCTCATGTTAATATTATATACATATATGTATCATGTTAATATAAATCTGATACCTGTTAGGAGTTGTTGAAGTCCTCATCTGAGTGTTGAACCGATGGGTGATAATGAAATCAATCGTTCATTATGTACCAAAATGTAGCATCTGGTTCTTCAGTCTTCATTTGTCTTCCAGTACTTCGAGCCACGCAATTTCAACTAAATGATGTCTCCTAACTGCATGGCCTATGTGTAGACATGTTATTTGTAGAATTTCCTCTGACATGATGAAACTCTTTAGGTAGAAAACAGATGACGTCACACTACTGCCATAAATAAGAGTTGGTCACAGCATTTATTTCCATTTTCTGACAAAACTCCACACCAAAACAAACTCGAGACCAAGCTGAAAAAAGAGAGATCCTTCTACTTTTATTTCATTTTCTTTTTTTGCTGCTGTTTCACATGTTAAGGTACAGTGCCTCATTAGGTATTTCCACTGATTTAAATAATGAAATTGGAGAGAAATCTCTTTTTCCGAGGACACAGAAAGATTGTATTTTTTTTAACAGGGGTGAGGTTGGTTGGGGTTGAGGGGGGAGGTTGCGGGCCGGGCGAATAAGAGGAGGTTGTAGGTTTACAAGGACGGAGGGTTTTTGCACGGTGTTCACAAACAGATAGACAAACAGGGACAGATAGAGAGGCAGGGTGAGGACGGGGGGATGGGAGGCAGTCAGGAGGTTTGGGGTAAAGGAGGAGTGTGGGAGAGGAGAGGAAAGGAGGAGGACGAGATGGTGTGCTTTGTCATGTCCGAATGAAAACAAGAAGCTCTCAGACCCATTCCAAACTTAAAAAAAACAACAACAGAAAACGTAAAACTTTACGAACAATTTTGTTTTAAAAAAAACACCCAGTCGTCTATTAGAAAACAACAACAACACAAGCAGAAAATAACACATGGGGAGGGAGGAAGGAGGGGAAGGAGGGAGGGAAGGAGGGAGAGAAGGAGTAGAAAGGGAACTGTTTTTTCCCACTCTGTTGAGGGGTGTGTGAGTGAGTGCTTAAGTTTTATGGTGAGATTGATTCTTTATTGATAGGGGAGGAGGAAGAGGAGGAGGAGGAAGAGGAGGAGGGACAGAGAACGGCAGTAGAAGATTGGCAGTGAGTAAGTAGAAAGAGGAAGAGAGAAAAGGAGGGAAGAAGTAAAGTCGTAGCAGGCGAATGGTAGGAAATGGCAGTGATTAGAGAGCTGGATCTGGGTGGCTGTTCTCTGACAGGAAAAACAAAACAACAAACAAACAAAACAAAAAAAACTGACGCCACCCACGTGCTCATACGCCAGTTGGGAGTCTAGACGGGAGCTGCCATGTTGTTGTTCTGCTTGGCAAGAGTGATAGCAGTGGAACAGTCAGGTTTTTGTCTTTATTCTTGTAATTCTGTTCTTTATTCTCGTCCACGCAGCTGTGTAGTTTGAGTACACACGAAGAGTGGCTGCAGCTGACAGTGCAGTAATGAGCATCGGCACAACAGTGTTACTGGCAGACTAGTGCTGTATAGAAAAAAAGAGGACAGAGGGACAGAGAGGAGAGGGGGAGATTTACAAAACCACCCCATCCTCTCCTCCTCTGTCCTTGGTCCTCTCGGCGTCTTGGCGTTATTGTTTTTTTTTTTTGTTTCTTTAGGATATGAGGATGGGAGGGTGGAGAGGAGGAGGAGGACGGAGGAGAAGTAAACATTGTTTTCTTGTACAGTTTGGATATGGTGACAGGAGAGGAGGGATAGATGAAGGGAAGGAGAAGAGAGGGGGAGATAGAGAAGGAGGAATGAGTTCAGGGGAAGGCGGGGTGCGAAGTAAATGATGCTCTGATAATTTAGTAGTAGGTCTCTTTTTCCACCCAGCCTATAGAGACGCAGAGGAGAGAAGAAGAGGGAAACAAGAAAAAAGAGAAAGAGAGAAGAGTTACCTATCAACATTTATTTAGTGATTAACATTAGAGCAAAAATACTATTTCAAACTGTAAGGTCTTCCTGGATATTTTCATGCACAATGTCCTAAAAAGCTTAACCTGATGCAGTGGTACTAAATATATAAATCATTAATCTGTGATCTGTGAAATGTATGACTCATGTAATGTTTTTCAAAAGGGTATGGCAGGACTGAGTCCTAAAGCCTGGACATGAGTTGGCACTTTTGCACCTCTGGTTCCATCTCAGAGTCAACAGGTTTTAGGTTAGACGCCTGAAATAAGTTCTGTGGTTAACACAAGCCTGAGAGATTTCCTGGTTTCGTTCTACGACATAAAATATGTCAGTAAATACCCTACCTGTGAATTATGAAGCTTTTACCTGCCTTTAAAAAAGGCGGGGACTAAAAAGTTGGTACTGAAACTACAGTACATGTATATAGTATGTGTGAGAGCGTACTGTATGTGTGTGTTGTCTTACCTCCGGGGTTTCGGCGAAGGATGAGTTTTCGGATTTCATCGTAAACAAAGATGAGGAAACTGTACGGGAACGCACAGAACCACCAACTGGGCCTGAGAGAGAACAGAGGGAATGATGGAGAGTAAGAGCAGTGGTTAGGTGAGAACTGAGAGACAGTATGAAGAACACAGTACTCATTGAATACTCATTACCTGTCTCAAATGGAAACAATATTTTGTTTAATACTAACCAGTAAAGACTGTGATCTGCTGTTGGCTTGTTAAGCCCACTGAGACATCAATGATATTGGGCCATACAAACAAACTGTATTGTGTTTTCAGTATTGGGATTACATTTATACAATCTTCCATAATTTGTTACCCCAAAAGTAAACATGGAGGACTATATCCTGGTAATGTAATGACGTCAATGTCACTTACTTGAGTGGGTACATCCTTAGTGCCACATCCATTCCTGGGCAGTAGGACAGGAAAGCAGCCAGAGCTGTTTCCTCAAACAGGCCAAAGATCAAAATCTTATTCCTGTGAGAAGATAAATGCAAAAAAAAGAGGGTTAATTACAGCACACATGGTGGAGAGAAGAAAAGATAAGAAGTCGTCTTGCCTCTGTTCTGCTCTTCTATCAACAGAGGACGGCAGCAGTTTCTATCTACATCTACTTTTAGATCATAAAATGGCTTCATTTCCTGCAGAATAGAGCGATATCTAGTGGCAGCTGTGGAAAACTGCAACAACCGAACCGAAGCAATGCCTCGTCGCCACCACAGTCCCCATTTATTCCTCCGTTTTTCTTCTTTCACAGACAAGTTTAATGCTTACACCTGTTTTTGTAACTGACACTGTACTTCAGAGAAAAGACTGTACAGCGATGGATGGACCTATTCAGATTGATTTGAAATAAAAGTACCTACACAACAATGTATAAACCTTTAGAAGAGAGAGATTTCATTGTCAAAGACTGCTTCACTGTAATTGTTGTGTACATGACAATAAAAGAACCTGAACTTGAGAAGCAGAAGTCCTTCATTCAGTCTTTCAAACTACTATGTGAGACAGAAAAAGAACCCTGCCAGTGAGTTGGGTTGATTGTGGAGTAAAAAGTAGAATATTGACCTCTGAAATATAGCAGAGTATAAAGTAGCAGAAAATAGAAATACTCAAATAAAGTCAAACGTGGCCATCATTAGCTACATCATAGGTTGTGTGTACAATAATGTTTATTTTGTGGAGCATTATTCAGACAAACACATCCTCATATAATGTTCTGACTTACTTCATGCCCTGCTGGAACACAGAGTTACGTCTGGTCTTGCAGATGATGACATCTGCCCACTGCACCACCACAATACTGACGAAGAAGGCTGTGTGGCAAGTGAACTCCACAATCTTACGCTGCTCGTAGGTCTGTACAGAGAGAGAGAGGTTCAGAGAAACAGATGTGTTATGTCGGGTCTTCTTTCACTGTTTACTATTTAAATAGATGTCAGCTGGAGCTGTTTCTCTTTCATTTACATCAATGTTTTTTTTATCATTTAAAAATCACTGCTATTAAATGAATTGTAAAGGAAATGTTTTTTCACGAGTATCTTTGAATAATATCACAACACACAAGAGGGGAATATCTTGATATTGTATCAGGTCTCTCAAACATAACTCCTCCATACAAGTGAACATAACGGAAAAAGGGGAACACTGATACTGGGTCAGGTCACTCATACCCATTGCTGCCCGTAGCTGTCCTCCAGGTCGTTGGTGGAGCGATCGTCCCAGTTGAGTCGGATACCAACAAGCTCGGACGGCAGAAAACCATTTTCAGCCATGATGACAAAATAGGCAAAGAACCCGCCAAGAGCTTGGATCATACCTGCAGACACAGAGTTTAGTCACTCATAGATTAGGTTTATCTGAAAAAGTAAAATCCTATACACCAATAAAAATCATAGAATATTATGATATGATATACTGTAGAAAAAAGGTTTTGTTCGGATTGACTGGCCATCAATGGGAACTGGCCGAAAAGCAAAAAGATTTGTTGCATTTACTGGGTCTTGCATGTCAACAATAATTGCATGCAATTATCTTTTTTAAATTAATGTGCTGATGATTTACGGGTTATAAAATGCGTCACACAGCACCTTTTACACTGTTTACAGTCTGTACAGTATGTCGAACAATATAATCATGGCACCTACCAATCTGTCCATAGGCGATGCTGATGAGTCTCTCGTTGACCAGTTTGTCCCTCAGTGGGTTTCTGGGCTGGCGCTTCATGATGTCACTCTCTGCTGCTTCATAGGCGAGAGAGATGGCTGGTACCTGCCAGAGGAGAGAGAAACAGAGAGAGGTGTTGTTATAGTGCTGATTTGTGACTTCAGTAAAATAATTTATTTATTTATTCTAACATGCAACACTTTCCAAGCCTGAAAAACAGTGCTGGTCCTACACTGCCACCTAGTGTCTTTTTTATGTATCATTTTAGGCATCAACTTGAATAGTAGCATATAGAATGTAGAAAATAGCACAAAATTGACCATTACTACCTGACTGAACACCTGTGTGTGCTGCCCTGATGATAATTACCAGGCATTACTGCAAATATTTGCCACCTAGGAAACTGACATGAATATATACGTTTCACGTTTGTGTACAGCTGAGCTTTACTGCTTCACTGTGCACGCGTGAGTGATTAAAGATTAGGCATGCAAGCATGTAAAAGAGCTGAATGTGTGGGGCCACCTGTGATTGGAAAAGTGGGTTCTTGCATTGGCTTCTGCTTTTTTATCGCAGGAATGGGCATAAACACATTAAAGCTGTGAGTATGTGAGTGTGTCTGGCGTCTCACTGTGTCGTTACCTGTTTTTTTCGGTATGTTTGCTTCCCTTACCATGTCAGTTCCCAGGTCGATGCAGAGGATGGTGATGGTGCCCAGAGGCAGTGGGATGTTGACCAAGATGAAGAACAGGAAGGGGGTGATCTCTGGGATGTTGCTGGTCAGAGTGTATGCAATGGACTTCTTTAAGTTGTCAAAGATCAGACGTCCTGTAAGGATGAAGGTGGTGTATAAATAAATACAGGCTGCTACTACTCCATGTGAGGTAAAACCCACACCTAAGCTAACACGGCTAGCTTTTAAATATAGAAAACATTGTTACTAACTTATTAACACAGAAGTACAACATTTTTCTTGCTGACTCAAAAATTACCTACTTGCGCTATGTCTCTTGAAATGGAATGGACAGTATATTGCAACCTACATGATTTTTATCTGGATATCTTAGGTTTACTCTAAAAACCATTCTTCACATCCTCCTGTCTTCACTTTTTTTGTTAATCCCTGACCTTCCTCTACACCAGTGACGATGGAGGCAAAGTTGTCGTCCAGCAGGATCATGTCTGCAGCTTGTTTGGACACGTCTGAGCCAGAGATTCCCATGGCAACACCGATATCAGCCTTCTTCAGGGCAGGAGAGTCGTTCACACCGTCACCTGTCACAGCCACGATGGCACCCTGACAGAAAAGTAGGACACACAATTTAGGGGTTTTCATTCCCTATTCAATGCTAAAAATGCACTTATTTTTTCCATTACATGCTTGTTTGCCTATTTAAATTTAACAACTGTGTTACAGTAAATGTACCTGTCTCTGGCAGCCTTCTACAATGATAAGTTTCTGCTGTGGGGAAGTTCTGGCGAAGACAATCTCTGTGTGGTTCCTCAAAATATCGTCCATCTGATCCTGATCGAGGTCTTTCAGATCTGTACCGTGGATCACACAGGCCTTGGCATCCCTACACAACACAGATGAATCAAAACCCTCTTATACACTTCTGTATACCAAATTATAGAAGCTACTGTCATATAAAAGCTGCTAAAAAATGTAAAAGGCTACATTGAGCATCTACAGTCTAAGGATGACCGTGGCCCACATGTGGTTCGACAACCAGATCCACGAGGCTGACACCACCGAGGACCAGTCTGGTGAGTTTCCCCCCCCCCCCCCTCTCTCTCTCTCTCTCTCTCTCCTGATATCACACAGTGTGCATTAAACTGTGTCTCTCTGCAAAATATTAAGAATGTTATGACCTTGGTTTTTCTATGGCAGCAATACTTACTAGCATCCGAAATGAACATCTGCAAAGTTCCTAGTACTCATAAACTGTATGTTTGGTTGAAATCAAGTTATTTCAGTCTCTATTTAAAGTCTCAGAGTTTGTTTGAGACCAGTTATTTTTCCATTTTTTGAAGTCCATTTTGCTGCTGCTTCATCAATTTCAGCTTCAGATGAGTCTTCAGATGAGTCTGGGCTAGACACCAGATCGTCTGTCTTTACCTCTGAGGCCTCCTCCGTGGAGGAATCAGAGTCCTCGAGGAGGAGAGGAGCCATCCTCGCTCTCGGAGCCATGATTATTTTAAGCGCTCTGTGTGCTGTAATGCTTGCCATCCCTAAAATGACTACTACTGCTCATACTTGATTAACCATGACTGCAGTGCACCAGCATCAACAGCCTGAGAGGAATCCAAAACAAAGTCACATTTTGTTTGTTTGTTTGTTGAGTTTGTGCGTAGCCTAGCATTTAGGCTAATTTTAAGGAACTAAGACAGAATTCTAAACAAAATTGCAAAATGAATAACTTTGGCAAGTTTGAGCTTCATTCATTGAACACAGCCAAAATAGCAGTGAAAATATAAACGGGAATGGTAGAACCCTAAGGGTTAGTTACATTGAATTTTTGTTAATTTTAAACCATAGGACTAGAAAAGCTCAAGAAGTGGGGTTTTCAGGCGGTGGATATAATTTTATCCTTGTCTTGACAGTTGACAGTTTCTGAAAGAAAAAAGAAGGTTTAGGCAAACAACAAGTTGCTGGGTGTGGCTGCCGCCCCTTTGGTGGCTGGGATAAGTTGAGACGTTTGGCAGTACATTTTTTTTGTCTTTTTTATCATTATGAGGCGGTGGGTGTGGTGGTGTTGTGGGTTTTGTTGGTAGGTAGGTAGTGCTCCTTTGACAAAAGCTCCAAAACATGGGTGTATTGGCCCGCGTCGCTGCTTTCTTGTGCAACCGTGCTGTGTTCAGGCTGGCAGGACTCTTTGCCCATTCCTTAAGCGTGATGTGGCTGGCGACGCCTCTGAGCAGCCTGCTTGAGTGTATTGAGCTGTCCTGTGGCTCTGTCAAGGCATGAGGGACAAGAACAGAAGGTGGCCGAGATCCCTTCAACTCCACAACAAGTACCAGGTTGCCCCCTTTGCTTACTCAAGTAACTAAGAATAATGCATACGATCTACAGATATGTCGTAGTAAATAGGCTACATAGATTGTTAATGGTTTAATAATAACACTAAAATATTTTCCCATCAGCTCTCAATTCACGGAAGGTGAAGATGAAAACGACAATCGCTACCGTTGGTGATGAAGGGAGCCCAGAGAGGATCTCTGGCGCTGCACCAGATTCATGTTGCAGGGCAAGGAGCAGCCATGGATGATGAGTTGAAAGAGGTTTCAGAATGCCTATCTGGAACTGGGGGCTCGGAGGAGGAGTACTGGGTGGGACGATAGAAGATAGTAAATAAGTGGTAATTTAACAAAAGTTCATGATTTGGAATTAGAGCTTAGCAATAACGGTATATCTGTATCTTATTGGCGAAGTATCGTCCTTGTTTCTATTTAATTAATTTGTTTCCAGGTTTCTGCTCTGTTCCTGCCAGAGGGTACAAGTATCCCAAAGGTTTTTTGCCTTCGACACAGATGACGTCAACTTCCAGACAGACACTTTGTTCGTAGGCTCATGTCCATGATTGACCCTCCCCGTGCTGCTGGTGGCCTGACGCCGTGGGCAAGTGCCGGATTGCGGTGCATAGGTAGGTTTGCACTTTCCAGCTGGCATTTAAATGCTTGAATGAATGGCTGTTTGCATGTTGCTGTGGATGAATTCATACTGTTTTTGGCATAGTATGTAGTTGAATTATTTTTGTTCACTCATACTCATCATTATATCCTTTCATG